GTTCTGAGAACACACCAGCCTTCCCCTCCCTGGCCCTCTGCCCTCCTAGTTCCTGACCCTGTCCCTCCTTCTCAGCAGTCTCTTACTTCTCCTTCAACACCCAAATAGAAGATGGCCTCTGAGGGGCACCTGGGTGGCTCAATTGGTTAAGTGTCCGACTTTGACTCAGGTCATAATCTCAAGGTTCGTGAGTTCGAGCCCCGCGTCGGGCTCTGTGCTGACAGCTCAGAGCCTGGAGCCTGCTTCGGATTCTGTGTCTCCCTCTCTCTCCCTCCTCCACTTGAGCTCTCTCTTTCTCTCTTTATCAAAAGTAAATGGATAAACATTAAAAAGAAGGAGGAGGAGAAGGCCTCTGAATACCCTGGCCAGCTCTTTCTGTACTTAATGTCGCCACTCTTGCCATCCTATCACACAGCCTCAATGTCTCTAAGTGCCCTCTCTGGGTTGTCTAGACAGGAAAGCTCCAGCCAGGTTGGAGGGCATGAATCAGGAAAAGTCTGGTGGAGAAGCAACCCGTGGGCTTGGCTCTGCCAAGGGGAAGGGCACATGCCAGGGTGGGGAAGAGAAAGGGCATCTGGATGGAGGAAACGGCCTGGCTACAGAGAAATGCAAGTAGGAGTGTGGGATTAGCACCAATGGGTGGAGGGTTGTGTACAGGGGCAGGACACTTGGCCTGGAGTCATGTGGGGGGCTTCAAGTCCTCATAGGAGAGGATGGTTCTCACCTCCACAACCCAGGATTGAGGGCCCACACCCATAGCTCCTCACTATGCCCTGCCCAGTTTGGTGTCTGGGAGGCTCCTCTTTGGGCACAAGCAGGGGTTTAGTTGGTGTAATACAGGGTGTGGAATTATAGAGGGACCCATAGGCAGACAGTCCTGTCTAGCCCTCCCCCGGCCTGGGTCCTCAGAGCCGATGACCTCTTGGCTGAGGCCTGCTCCCACAGTCCTGCCGTGCCCTCCCCCTCTCCCTTGAGATCTGGCCCCCAGCTTCTCTGGCCACTGAAGCGGCTTAATGAGCCCAGGTCACATGGGCTATGCTACTGCTTGTGGGGAGGGCCCAAGCCCCCGTGGCCACCCGACCAGGCCCTGACGTCAGCGGCATTAACCGTGCACTAGGCTTGTCTAATCTCTGGTCAGTGGACGGGCCAGGTTAGTCCCGCCAGAGCCAGAGTTGAACACCGTGAAGGCCCTCAGGGGCACCTTGAGGTTGCAGGTCAGGCAGGGATGGTGATGACTGAAGGAGCCCAGGGTAAATGACCCCTACCTACAAGACTAGGGAGTGGCCACTGTGCTGGCTTTGGGCCAGCTCTGATCCTCTGCCCTCAACTGTGAATCAGGCATGGGCTCCCATTGATCCTGCTCTGTAAGGTGTAATTACACTGGTGTGGTGAGTGGGGCCGAGGAGGCTTTGAGCTGAGAGACTCAGCTCCCCCTCCCCCAGCATACTTGTGGCCATGGGCAGGGCAACTTGAGGCCAGGCAGTGTCCCCAGTCCATGGGATCCAGGAATGCCAGTCCTGAATCCCAGACCCTGGGGTCAGAGTTACATGTGGAGGGGACCCCCTAGAAGGTGAGGTCCAGCCCCTGCCTGGTGTTTGGGCTTCTCTCTGCCCCTTGCCCAAGAAGGCTGGGAGCTTGTTGTTTTTCTTCCAAGACAAGGTGACTATGTGGAAGACCCCATTAGCGCACCTCTCCTGACAGCTTCCTCCCTCCCAAGCCTACCACTTCCACTTCCAGCTCCTCAAAGCCTCCTGTCTTCTGCCTTGCTTCTCCCCACTAAATCCCAGGGTTACTCCCCTGCCCCACCTCACTCCAGTAAACTGCTCAATCAAAGGGTCCTTAGTGCAAATGAGCAGCCAGGGTTCATCCAGGCCTAAGACCACCCAGTGAGGGCCGTAAACCACTGGCCCAAGCCCCATCCTCCTCTCAAACCTCCAAACAGCGCCAGTGTGGCTGAACTCCTTAATCCATCCAGTGTCCCCCACCACTACCACCCTGTGCTCAGGCCTAGGCACCCTTACTTCCCCTGTACCCAGCTCACTTCCGGATCACAGCATCCTCCACCTGGACATTGAAGATGCTGCCCACATCTTCTGCCCAGCCCCAGGTATGTCTGCCTCCTGGACATCTCCTCCCCCAGGTGGCCACAGGTCTGGAAAACTCAGTCCATTCAACACTCCTGCAGTCCCACCAGCTTGCTGGGGGCATCACATGCACTTGGTCAAATAGCACAGATCCAGACCATTGTGGCTGAGCCCCATCTGCAGATCCTGGCCCCATGGAGTGACGAGGACATGTCTCTTCCTCACAGATCCTCCAGCCCCACTGCTGTCCTCCCCACGTCCTCTCATACTGGCCTCCAGGAAAAATGTGTGTCCCTACATACCTGCTTTCCCGAAAAATTTTAATGATTATTTTTTCCAGAAATAGAGTTGTAAAATATTATTGATGATTTATTTCCATTAAATCCAGGAAAATAAGATTATAAATTGTCTTAGATATAGATAAAATAGTTAAGCTTAAAATAATGTGGAGTTTTAATGTACCTACTTTCATTTTTTTTCAACTATTTTAATGTTCCATAAAAATTTTACCATTAAAAACACACAAAAACATACATAGGAGTGGACATTTTCCTTTTGCTTCAGGTTCCAATATGGCTCGGCAGAGGTCTCTTGAGTCTTGTCTTTATTTAAAATTTTGATATTTTGTTTATCATGAGGGTTTTTTTTTTTTTTTGCAGTGATTTTGAATTTAAAACGTATTGCATCAAAATATTACTTATCTTGATCACTGAACTTTTTGGCACCACCTTAAATTTTGCACCCAAAGGTGAGTGCCTCTTTTGCCTCACCCCAATCCCAGCCCTGCTATTATGTCCTAGCTTCAAGGGCTTCCAAGACCCATCATCTTCTGGAGGAAGCCTAGGCCCTCAGGCTGGCACTTGGCACCTGCCTATTGTCTCCCCACCCCGTGTCCCCTTTGCCTATTCCTGCCCTATTGAACTATGGCCCCCAAGCCCCTCTTTCTGGGCCTTATACACCCTACTCTCCCTGCCAGAATAAGCTTCTACCCCAGAACTTCTTGATCCAAGATTGTTCCTGTGAACAGTTCCCAGGGCTCCTTTTTCCTTCAGCCCCTCTCAAGAGGCACAGGTTAGTCCCATGCCCCCAAGAGTGCTCCTGCCACGTCCGGCCAGGTGCTTCTCCCTGGAAGGGATGATCTTCCCATTCATGTCCAGCCCAACACTGGACACTTAATAAGTGCCTGTAACTCATGATAATTAATGCTCTTCCCTTCCCCACAAGAAAGGACAGCTGGGGCCTGATGCAAAGGTTTATTGCTGAGTCTGTGCATCTATCTGAGGGGAGTGTGGATCGTGCTCTGGCCTTGCGAGACAGAAACCCCCCATCCCCCACTGCAGCATAGGTCCTGGCCCACAGGCATCAGCAAGGACTCGAGGCTTGATGAGGAAGTAGGGGGCAGGGATATAGGGACTTGGGCCTTTGTCCCTAACAAAATTCAGGCATGGCCCTCAGTTTTTCCTGCCAGCAAATGGACCCTGAATGGAAAGGGTGAGAGGGACAAGAGGGTTACCTGGGTTTACTTATGACCCCACCTGAGGTAGACCCCTCTTGGGCCCAACCTGGGCCTCAGTCATGTCCCAGCCTGGGGCTGATCGATAGGAGCCGGACTCTGCCCCCAGCCACCCCTCAGGACAGTTTGACCATTGGCCACAGCTGGTGTCAACAGTACCCTCCCTCAAAACACCGTCCCCTTGGCCGGCTGGCCTGGAGTACTGTGGGCGGGGTGGTGGTGAGGTAGGACATGGATCTGGTGTCCAAGGACAAGGACAGAGGGGGCAGAGCCTGTGGGTGGAGGGGTCTAGGGGGTACTCTGAGCCTGCTGTATGGGGAAGGGTACAGCTTGAGTCTCTTCCTGGTGCCCATGGTCTCCCAGGCCTGCCTCCACTCATTAATTCATCTATGCAGGAGCTGCACAGGCCAGACTGACTTGGACTTTGGACTCCTGAAGCTACTGAGAGGGACAGTCACTGGCCACCGGGTAGAGACAGGTGTCAGATTTGTCACATGGAGGTGGTAAGGCTGGAATGGGCTGATGGTCAGCAGCAGGCCTGCTTGGAGGAGGGATCCCTGCCTGCCCCCCCTGCTCTTCAGGAAACTGGGAGGGAGGGCTGTTTGCCGAGCCCAGACCCACCAGGTGAGTCATGGGCCCCCTGCGGAGAGACCTGTAGGAGATTGGTCAGTTGGGCATGCTGAGTCACTGTGAGCTCTAGCTGCCCCAAGTCCTGCCTGCTCCTAGCTGGGGCTGGCTGGGGTGGGTCCTGGAGGCCAGCGCAGCCAGGCCATGAAGGGCAGCAGTCGGGTTGGGGGTACCTGGCTCTGGGAGACCTGGGAACCACGGGGGAGGGCTGGGGCCTCAAGGCTGGTGGGGCTCAGGGCTTTGGATCTGTGGCGTGGCTGGTGGGGCCTCACGCTGGGGCCCAGGAGTCCTGGGGAGCTGAGAGGCTCTTGTGTGCTAGGGCTACGAGGTGGCTAGGGCTACGAGGTGGCTAGGGCTACCGGGTGTCAGGGACACACGTGAGTTCAAGCACCTGTGAACAGAAAAAGGATGCCAGTCAACATCCCAGAGCTCCAAAATAATTGGTCTTAGGCTGAGAGGCACTGTGGAGGTGGGCTTGTAAGCAGTGACCCCTGGGGGATTGGGGTCGGGTCAAAAGAGATTAGGTGGGTGGGACTTATGCACCAGGGGCACGGGCTGTGGGCAGTGGGGTGGAACCTGATGGGCCAGGATGGGGCCTGGGAATTGGGGGCCAGAAGCAGGCAGTGGAATGGGTCTGGAGAGATGGGGCAGGACCTGATGGCCTGCAGTGGGACCTGTTGTAGTGAGGTGGGGTGAGGAGCTGGGGAGGCCGTGTAATTAGATATTGAGACCAAGGGGCAAGACAGGGGAGCATCCCAGACTGCCAGGAACCCACCTCAAAAGAGTCCGCAATCTTTGAGGTTCTCCTTGATGATGATATCGGTGACAGCATCGAAGACAAACTTGACGTTCTGTGTGTCGGTAGCGCAAGTCATGTGGGAATAGATCTCCTTCACGTCGCGTCGCATGTTGAGCTCCAGGAACTGCACCTTGATGTAGTTGCCCGCGTCCTCGTACGTGTTGGGCCCTGGAAGGGAAGGGGAATGTGCTCACTCCATGTCCGCAGTCCTTCCTGCGACGGCAGAAGCTCAGGCCCACATCATGGGGTTGGGGCGCCGCCTGGCGGCCAGGCGAGGGGGTGCGGCTCTCACCGTCGTAATCAGGGAAGCAGATGCTGAGATGCGCCTTTTTTATCTTCTCTGAGAAAACGTCTTTCTTGTTGAGGAAGAGCACAATGGACGTGGTAGCGAAATAGCGGTGGTTGCAGATGCTGTTGAACAGGTGCAGGCTCTCGTGCATGCGGTTCTGAGGAGGGCAGAAGCTGTCGGGCACCGGTAGTGGGGCACGGGCAGCTGCCCTGCGCGGCCGCGGCCCACAGGCTCCGGGCCACCCGGAGCCATCCAGCTCAGACAGCTCCAAGTCACCTCCCCTCCACTACCCCCCTCAGCGGGGCTGCTAGCTGTCTTGAGTCCTCATTCAGACTGTTCTGGAACGAATGTCCCCTCTCAGACGCTCCCCGCTCCTGCAGCACCGTCTCTGGCTTTCTGTCTCAGGCCTTGCTTGGCACTCACCACTTCGTCGTCCTCCACCAGCACCATGTCGTAGGCGCTCAGTGCCGCGATGAAGATGATACAGGTTACACCCTCGAAGCAATGGATCCACTTCTTGCGCTCAGAGCGCTGCCCACCCACATCGAACATCCTATGGGACAATTGGGACCTGAACCCGTGCGCATCGAGCCCCCTGAACGCGCCCACAGGTATCCCCTGGCCTCCTAATGCTGACTGGGCGGCATTCGGATGGGACTGGCATGTGGAGGGCCCGAGCCTTTCTGCGGGCAGGGTATCATAGAAGGAACAAGGGCTCTCGTAGGGATGGGGTCTCCGGGACCTGTCGGGGCCTTGGGGAGCTGCACTCAGGGCCAGACCCCTAGAGCGAGAGCAAGGGTGAGGGCTCGCCGGGTCGTACCGGAAGTGGAGGTCCTTGAAGGAGAACTGTGTCTCAATGATACCCGTGGTCTTGACACGCGAGCGCAGCACGTCCTGCTCAGTGGGCACGTAGCCCGGGGTTACCAGGCGCTCCAGGTCGGAGAGGTAGCTGCGGGAGACCGCGGAGTGTGGGTGGGTTGGGTGAAGGGGTGTGGTAGGGCCCTGCCCGCACCCCCAGAGCCCCGCCTGCGCTCTCACTAGCCCGCCGAGTCGTTGAGTTGGTACTCAGAGGCGCGTTCGAAACAGGCCTGGATACCCGAGTCCTTCCACAGCCGCTGGATGATGTCTGACATCTCCTTGGGCATCGTGCCTTCCTCGATGGTGTCTGCCATGTGCATCAGCTTCCGGGCGTCGTCCTGAGGGCAGGGTGGAAGTGGTTGGAGATGACCGTGGACTTGAGCCCAGTCTTGAGCCCCCGGAGGCCCCGCTCAGCCAGTCTCCCTGCACACCTGGCGCGCAGAGTCTCCATACTGGATGTTGAGCGTGGTCATGGCACGCACGATGGCGAGGATGGACTGCAGTGTGTTGCCGTAGATGATGGCAATGAACTCGAGGCACTCTTCCAGAGAGTACCCATCCTGGTGGATAATCCTATGGCCAGGGCAAGCCAAGTCAGGGTCAGGTGGACTGGTGGGAAAGGACAGGCCCCGTGGACACGCCCACCCCCAGAGGCCTCAGAAAGGGCAAGGGCACTCACTTCATCTGCTTGACAATGGTGCTCTTCCCGGACTCACCGGCACCTGGAAGGGAAGCCCCGCCTCAGAGCTGCACTGGCCACACCTCCCCACATCACTCCCCTGGCAACCAAGGGCAGAAGGTGGGACCAGGCATACTCAAGGCACCAGTCCAACCCGCCCCCCCTCCCCCCCAGTTCTACCTGTTTCTCCCCCACCCCCCAAAGTAAGGTCCTGACACCTTTGAGGAAAAACATTTGTAAATGTCAGAAGTGACAGACGGGGGCAAAGACCTCAGTTGTGCGTTGAAACCTCCAAGACCCCTGGTATTCACTTTCTTGAGGAGTCTGAGACCAAAATAAAGAAAACCTGGAGCGCCACTTTGTGGAGAGTTCTGGTACTGTATGCAGGGGATTATTTGAGCCAGGTCAACCCCTGCTTTTCACCTGGTGTGGGGAGGGGAGTGTCTCAGAGGCTCAGAGAGAATTAGCACCTTTGAGTGGGGGAGAACACAGAGCTGACAGCCCCTCTGAGCTTGCTCTCGCCAGGGCTTTGGGCACAGTTAATGAGATTTCTGGCTTAGCCTTTATGTCTTCCCTAGGGTGCTCTGGCCTGGTCCCTTTGCCCACATCCAGCTGCCTGACAGGACCCTGGAGAGCCTGGGTGGAACGTACACTGCCTTTTCAAAGCAGCTCCTTCTTCCACATGTGAGGAGGTAGTGACCTGGAGGTACCGCGTCCCCCCACCTCTCCTCACTATCCATGAAACCATGGACATGATTTTATCTATTCTTCACCAGGCCTTAGTACCTCTGCACCCTCTTTAGGTCTGCCAACAACAAAGCTCTGGAATCTGAGGACCATTGTCTGTGGACTTGGGCAGTCCTAGGGGATGCCCACTCCCAGGTGGACTGGTTACTGTCTTCCCAAGGGAGCAGCCCTATTTCGGCGCTCCCAAGAAAGCCCCTGGTTTCTGATGCCTGCCTAACAGGACTTCTCCAGAGGGGAGGGAGCTGAGGGAGGGCCCTCTGGAGAGGGGTTCCAAGGGATACCCAGCCTTGGGGAGTTGGGGTATCACCTATTAGACCCAGCCTTGCCTGGCCAGGGCTCCCATTCTGTTTCCTGACCTGTCTCAAGGTCATTCTGCTTCCCAAGTCACCCCTATTTCACAGAAGGGCTATCTGCTGACCCCCCAGGCCTCTGACCTGGTGGCAGTGGCCCCACCTGGGCCCACACCCGTACCCAGAAGCAGCAGTTTCACGGTTCGAGCATCCTTCTCGGCATCTTCTTTTAGCTTCTTTTCCAGCTCCCTTGAGTGCTTCTCCTCGGCGCTGGCCCCAGCCCCCATGGTCCCGGCAGCAGGTGAACAGGGTGGTTAGTTGGTTCCTCTAGATGGAGGGGATCCCCAGAGCCAGGCTCAGGCCAGCCTCAGGCCTCCTCAGACACCCTTCTGGCCCCAAGACTGGCAATCAACTGGCCCCCCCACAGACCTGTGCAGGCCCTGGTGGGGCTGCTTAGTGGGATTTAGGGGCCAGGGGTTCCCAAGAGCCAATGAGAGACAAGGACAGGTGAATCCAGCTCAGCCCCCAGCCCTTCTAATCAGGATGGCATGGCCCCAATCTCTCAACTGCTGACTCTGCACCCCTCTCTTCCTGCCCCAACCCTCTAAGAGAGATCCTGGGGACAGTCCAGCCCGTGAGCCAGAGCAGGGAGTTGTGTTCCATAGGGTGCAAGCTTAGAAGGGGGAGAATAGGACCTTGAGTCCCTAGGGTGGGGACAGTTGGGGTGGGGCTGGCAACAGGGAGTAGAGGGAGAAGCAAGCATGGAGCACCTGCCCCTGCCCAGCCCTGGACTCAGTGCTGCTCCTTATTTTGTAAGCTCACATGGTCCCCGGTGAATGGGTACCTACATCATCAGCCCCATTTTACTGATGACGAAGTAGAGGCTCAGACGGTCACATAGAAGGAAGTGGTTGAGAAGGGCTGGGTGACTCCAGACCAGGGTTCCATGCTCTGCAGAGAGTCAAGAAGGAAAGCAGGGAATTGCATTTGCCTGGTACTGAGGGCTGGATCTCACCTGGGCAGGGCCTCTACATAACTCCATGATTCCAACAGACTTGGGGTGGGGGCGTACATGTCCACTGTGTGTGCCTGGGTGTGTGTGCGGCTATCCTTTGCTGGCATCAACCAAAGCAGTGACATGACACATTTGTCCGTATGTATACTTGTGTGTACACATGTGCCTGTTTGTGCCATTGAGTACATGTATGCCTACGCATGCCTTTGTACATGTGTGCATGTGTGTAGACATGGTTTTGTTTTTCCTTATGTGCACATGTGCTTCTATGTGTACTTTGCTGTGCTTATGTGGATTAACATGTGCATTTGTGTATTTGTGTATGGATGTATGGATGCTTGTACATGAGCAGTGCATGCATTAGCATGCACATGCCTATTTTTGCCTGTGCTTATGTAAGCACGTGCCTGTGCACATGTGCATTTCTACATGTGTATGTGTGCATACTTGCATGTGCCTGTGCCTATGTGTACATGTGTATTTGACTGCAACAAGATCCCTGACTTGCAGAGATGGCCGGGCTCTTCCAGAGAATGTTTTGCAGGCCTGTTGTCACATGTCTGCTATTCCCAGAGCAGGTCTGGTGCTCCCAGGGGCAAGGAGGAGTGGAACTCATCTCCCATCCTTCTCCTGATCTGTTCCTTGTGTGTGTTCTAGGATTTGCCTAAGGGCATCTGTAGGGCATGCCTGCCTCAGCTTAGGGGGCCTAGATTCTGTATTCAGGTTCAGATGGCACAAGAAGTACTGCTAAGTGGAAGAGGTTCAACTGAGCCTAACGTGTTGAGTTCCCAGGCTCTGGAGATTTCCCACCTCCTATATAAAGACCCAAACCCTAGGCTCTCAAGGCTCCCTCCAGAGACCCTGAGCCTCCTGGCTGGACTCCTCTGGGACACCTACCTGCCTTTCAGTACTCAACTCTGCTGCAGACCCAAGAGACCATGAGGGGGTGCCAGGGCCTCAGATCCTGAGTGTTAGAGACTGTCCCTAAACATGTGGGAAATGGATACTGGCTCCTACCAGAGGCTGATGGCTTCACATCTACTCTATGGGGTGGGTGGGTGGGGTCTGTCCAAGAACAACCGATTATCTGTGCCACTTTCAGCTTCCAGCTTCTACCCATCCCCTACCCGCCACATTGTAAGTGGGCTCTGGCAGGGATTTGGGGCAGTGCAGGAGCCCAGGTTTGTTGGACCAGCACAAATCTGGTTTCTGCCTATTGGGTTTATTTAAAGTGGGGCCATTCGCTGCCTCCCAGTCCCCACCTGACTCCCCTTGCCTGCCAGGTATGGCTGTAAGCCCTGCTGGACCCATGGGCCTTCCCAGCTCTTAGCTTCCCCTGCCAGGTCTTGACTCATTCAATTTGGCCCAGGGCCCCCGGCCCCACTTCCTCCTCTCCAGAGGCACCCCACCTGTCCTGGTCTTCACCACCTCTGGACATTTGCTCATGCCAGGCCCTCTGCTGAGAGCTGGCTGGAAGGAAGCAGGAAGGATGGGAATTTTGTCAATTCTCAGGGCAGGGGCAGCCAGACTGTGAGGGCTGTGGCTTTGTCTTGCCAATTCTTAGCCCTTAGAGCCTGGCACAAAGCCCACCTCAAAGGCAGGTAAGAAAGCAGTGTTGAACAAACGGTCAAACCTGTGAACAAACGAATGGAAGCTGAGCTTGCAAGAGAGGTGTGGGAATGATGGTCAGACCACATAAAGGGGGGCAGGAAGGACAGGATCTGGGCATGGGCTGAACCCCCATCCTCCCTCCCCCGCCAAGGAGAAAAGCCAAAGTCCAGTCCCAGAGCCAGTGTTTATTAGCAAGATGGAACGCAAGGGTGGCTGTGGCCTGGGCAGCCGAGGGCCACCAGGAGCCCCTACCCACCTACCCCGAAGCCCCTAAGAGCTATTTACACCCATCATCTGAAGTGGTGGGCAGAAGGGAGCCCTGGGGAGCCCCTGAAGGCCCCAGGCCTCCACCATAGCCCCCTCTCCCCTTGACCCTACCTGAACCTGCCCCTCTGCTATTCTCCCAGCCCCCAAGTCACAGTGGCCCAGAAAAAGGGAAGAGGAGGTAGAGTGGTCAGGCAGGGAGGGAAGGAGGGGCTGGAAGCGCACCCCACCCAGGCAGGGCTCCTCTGCTCCTGTCCCCAATAAATAGAGAATAAATACCCGGGAAGGGGCTGGCCTTGACTGAGTGCCCCCTCCCAGGCAGGGGCCGGCCTCCTGTGTCGGCCCCTTCTTCCCTTCTCTGAGTGCATCTGAGCCCCCCACCCCCGCTCCCAGTCTCCAAAGCAGTCCTCAAATCCACGTCTATGCCAGTGGCACAGGCTGATAGCACACACTGGCAAAGGTGTGCAGTCTGTTCCCTGTCCGGGTAGAGCTTGCTCCCTCCTTGTGTCCTGTAGATCCCGGCGATGGCTGTTGAGCATGTAGACTCCCAGCTGAGTCTGGGGACTGTGTGGTCCTGGCCTGGCCCTGCCAACTGGCTGGGCCTGGTTAAGTGGGCTCTGTTTCCTGCCGTCTCTGACCAGCATGGGTCTAAGTTTTGGACGGTGCTGCCGCTGAGGCAGGCTATATACAACCCACCAATAAATACTGTCTTTGCAGGGGCAGGGTGTGTATAGAATATAGATATTTTATATATATATATATATATATATATATCTTTTATATTAAAAGGGACAAGGCCTAGGCTGGCCCATTTCAGGGCTCAGACAGCTGGCCTCATGTGTCTGGAGGGTGGTGACGGCGGTTCCGGGGCTTTTTCTGGTCCTGGGGTTCAGGAGGCCTGGGTGCCCCCGGGGCCTCCCTGGGGCTTGGGGGCACATGGCGCCAGTAGCCCTGGCAGTACTGGTGGATGAGGCCCACTTCCGGCTGGGCCAGCAGTTGGGCCAGCTCCTGGTAAGAGGGTGTGGGGGGGCCGGCGCCTGGCAGTGGTGGGGCGCTCACAGCTGGCGGTGGGAAGAGGGCAGCATGGACGGCATCCTGACCCAGGACGTGCAGCTGTACCCGTGTGACGACATGCTTGAAGTTGTTCTCGGTGGCAGTGCAGGAGTAGAGGCCACGGTCACTGAGCTGCAGGGCGCGAAGCAGCAAGCCCTGCTCTGTGCGCAGGAAGCGGTCCTCCGCACGAATCTGCAGGGGCAGGGAGTGGGGGCTCAGGGGTTGTGTGACCACTCGGCTGCCTAGCCAGCTCCCAGAGCAGACCCCTTCTGTGCCCATTCCATGGAGGGGCTCTCATGTGGAATTTCCATATACCAAGAAAATCCCACAGTAGTTTTCCACATAACATCTGAATAGGCATCCACACACATTTCCATTTCAGGATCATAAGGGGATTTCTGTACAACAAGAGAATTTTGGAGCAATCACAAAGAATTTCTTTTTAATGGGAACTGGCGTATCCATATAGAATTTCCACGTAAGGAGAGATGCATGGAAGGCATTTCCATAAAATGAGGGCTACCCCACAGAATTCCCATATACTAGAGTTCAACCACATGACATTTCCATATAATGAGGTATACTTCCAATGGAGCACACACATGGAATTTTCATGTAAATAGGCATTAAGCGGTTTCCATATAATGCGGAAATCCCAGAGTTTCCATATAACTAGATTCACCTGAATGATTCCCACACAGGGAAGGGAACTTGGAAGGGCTTTCTTAGAATGGGGGCTGCTCTGGGTCAGCTCCTATATCACATTTCACCCACAGGGAATTTCTACTGCACAGGGGACTCCCACATCCGCGGTGGGGGCTGTGGGGTACAAGAAATCACCTCACGGCGCCGGTCACTGGGATCTCGCTGGAACAGCCACTTAACTGTGGCCTGGGGTGAGCGAGGCTGGCATTCGAGGAAGGCTGCACTCCCAGCCACACCGTACTGCACGGACTCCACGGTATTCTTGTTGGCTGTGGAACAAGGGGGCGCTGCATGAAAGCAGCATTGCCTCTGGGCAGACTGTAGGGTGGCCAGAGGCAGGTGCAAGGGGCATATACAGGGACATCCACCCTGTATAAAGGCAGGGCTGCACTATCGGGCACCCACTTCTTGAGGGAGTGGCTAGGGACATCCCATCTCTAAAATCCCAAGCCCCCTTACGCCCATGGACCACGTGAGAATCCTTCCCTGGGAGCAGCTCCATGGGCCTCACAGGGTTCCACACTGTGAGGAGTGCCCAGTGGTGAGTCACAGCACACTCACCGTTGGAGTTGAACCCGCGACACTGCCTGATGGGGTTCCCATGCCGGACATCCTGCCGGCGGCTCCGCCTAGATGAGGATAGCGCCTCAGCAAGTATTCTCAAGCAAGTTTGCCACCCCCCCCCAGGCCCCTGTACCCCCAAGACTCCAGGCAGGAATCCCATCCATAAACTCCCCTAGGGTAATATATCCACCACCAAACCCCCAGGACAGGGCCCTGGGTCCAGTGACTAAAATTCCAAGGGCCTGGGGGTCCACACCTCTTGGAAGACGCTGTGTAGCGGGAACAGGCCTGGCCATCCCAGGCACAGTAGGGGTCCCGGGCGAGGCAGCAGTCGGCACAGGCAGCCCCATATGCCTGGCAGCGGTGCAGGCTCAGGTGTGTGACACCCACAGCTGAGGCCACGTACAGTTGTTGCTGAGAGCAGGGGTAGGGGCTTGTCAGTTGCCTTCCCACAGCCAGCCCCCATCACGTTCCATGCCTCAGTTTCCCCATCCCTATGCCAAGGGCAGGACCCCAAGGGAGAACAGGCTCTGTCCCTACCCCCAGCCCACCTCACCAAAACTCACCCTCTTGGAAGAGATGGTCATGGTCTTAACAGGTGCTGGGTCCTGAAAAAGATAGGGATTAGTTTGGGGCCCTGGGGATGCCCTCCTTGCCCTGACCAAGAGGTCTGAAGTCTGAAGTCAGAAGCTGATACCAAGGAGGGCCAGGGTGAGATGAACAGTTCTGGGTGTCATACCCACCTTGAAGACCTCCACCTCCTCCAGCATTAGCTCCTCCATCTCCTGGTCATCCTTGGGCAACACGATGACCTTCTGCACTGTCCCGCGGTCTGGAACGGGCCGGGCAGGGCCTCAGTGGGGCTGAGGACACTGGGGAAGGGGTACCAGCCTCAGCCCCTTCCCCCACCAGGGCCCCAACCCCCAAGGGCAGTGGAGCAGGAGCTCTGTGCCAAGGTTGAAGAAGTTCCCCTGGATGTCAGGGGCCCAAGATAATGGGGGAGGGGGTCACGGCCAGGGTCTGCCCCTCCCACCCCAGACCCTCAGTTTGGGCACTGCTGAGCATAGGATGCTGGAGGCATTTCCGTGTTGAGGGACTGGAACTGGGATGGGCACACCTGTGCATGTGCACACGAGAGCATGTATGTCAGTATCTGGACCCACATATCCTAGAGGTGTCTGCCACCTGTCCCCTCTTTCCTGACCATTCACGGGTCCCCAGATGCCCAGTTTCCCTGCTCTCCCAGCCCCTGGGGGGTTGGGGATGGTGATGGGGTTTCTTTTCTCAGTTATCTAGGCTCCAAAGGATGAAGGTAGCAGAGTTGACCTTGGCAAGCTTGTGGCAACCCCTAGCAAGGTAGGTCCCAGCCCCATAGATCAGCACCCTCCACCCACCGGGCCCAGCGTGGGAGGGACCGGGAGCAGCAGTGGGTACCTGTGCCCAGGAAAAGCACCTCATAGCGCCCATCGGCTGCATCCACCTGGTCCACGGCGACAGTGGTGAGCCGATAGGGAGCGCCTGTGCGGACGACCAGGGGCCGCCGCTGCAGAGGGTACACAGCCTGGTACATGAGTGGGTGGCTGCGCATGAAATTGATCACTTCATCAGGGTAGTCCTTGGTGGACTTCATGGATGGTGTGAAGGTTCCGCCAGGGCACTGCAGGCAGGTGATGAGCGTCAGGCCCGGGTGGGGCTTGCTGGAGCCCTTAACTTCAGGAGAGGCCTCTCCTTTGTCTGTCCCCATCACATCCACCTGCTCTGCTCCTCAGAGCTCCCATCCAGGATTTTCCCCCTCACCCAGCCCCTCTGCAGATCCTGCTCTAGCAGAGGTCCCAAGGTCCCACACAACCAAATTCCACAGCCACCTCCCTGGCCTCATGCACCAGGACCTTGTGGCATTAGGCAGAGCTGACCACTCCTTTTCCACGTCCTCACTCCCCACCCTGTTGTCTCCTTCCTCCAATCTGCCCCTCACCCCAACCCACCCCTCCTCAAGGGACTACAGCTCCCAGTTCCTTTAACACCCTACACATGCTCTGCCCTTCATTGGTACTTTTCCCTCGGCCTGCCCTGCACCCCTGCTCAACTCCAGCCCATCCTTCTGGCCTCCAAGTTCACCATTGGGGGAAGCCTTCCCTGGCCTCTGCTCAGACCAGCTCCCCCATCCCAGCCCTGCCCCCACAGAGCCACAACAGATCATGCGGTTCTCCTGCTTAGACTCCTGCAGAGGCCCACATCACACCAAGATTAAGTGAGTCACCTCCCACCGCCTCAGAGGCCCTGCAGGCTGGACCTTGCCCACCCTCATCTCCCTGGCTACAATTAGCCACCTATGCCAACTCCAGCCTGCCCTCCAGCTTTGTCTTGGCTCCCAAACAGCACCCCCTCCAAGCAGCCTGCCACACCCGGCTGTCATCTTTGTTTCAGGGTCCTGGCTGGGTTCTTCACAGCCTGACACTGTGTAAGTGGTATTTCGTTTCATTTTATTTATTTATTTATTTATTTATTTATTTTTTTTTTTAATTTTTTTTTTAATGTTTATTTATTTTTGAGACAGAGAGAGACAGAGCATGAACGGGGGAGGGTCACAGAGAGAGGGAGACACGGAATCTGAAACAGGCTCCAGGCTCTGAGCGGTCAGCACAGAGCCCGACGCGGGGCTCGAACTCACGGAGTGTGAGATTGTGACCTGAGCTGAAGTCGGCCGCTTAACCGACTGAGCCACCCAGGCGCCCCTCATTTTATTTATTTTTTTAAGTAAGCTCTATGCCCAACATGAGGCTCAAACTCATGACCTCAAAATTAAGAGTCGCATGCTCTACTAACTGAGCCAGCCAGGCGCCTGTTTTGTTTTGTTTTAAATGTCAGCTTTATTTGAATGGATACATGGTAGATTGATTTGTTTGTATGCTCTGCCTCCCCCACCTGGCCAGGAGCTCCATGATAGTGGGGCCCATGTCTACAAAGGGGCTAACCCAAAGCAGTCCTCATAGAAAAGGGAAAGGTGGAATGACTGGGGTCCTCACCGTGCCAGGCCGTGGGTAGGGCATCTTCCCTGAGAATGGCATCCACTGGTAGTTGGGGCCCTCTTTGTGGGCAAAGGGCCCGTTGAAGACCATGCGGATATCAGCCATGGAGTAGACACACACAGCAGAGCCTCGGAACACGGAGCTGCGGGCAGGGCAGGAGGCTGCTGTGGGCAGGGCAGACCCTCGGCCCAGGGCCCCTTCCCAGCCTGCCCCCACCCCACAGCCTGCCACCAGGCAGGGGTCCTCCACAAGTCATATAATCCCCCAGTCCAGCCACACCCTGCCACAGCCAGCCCCGGCCCCAGCCTCACCCCGAGGAGGTAAAGACAGCATAAATGACTGGGTTCCTCACATCCTGTGTCTGCTGGACAAACACATCCTCTGCGGGCAGAGGGAGAAGACACTGGGAGGGTGCATTAGCCAGGAGTCCCAGGGCCTTGCCCACTCCTGCCCAGGGGGCCCACCAAAGGTGCCCTGACCACCCATCCAGCCCCCACCCCTCCCACAGAAGCCACAGGACCCAGCCTGCCTGCTGGTTACTCACGGAGCTCATCGAAGTGAGTCTCAATGCCATCCTCGCCGGGCACAGAGCACACCAGTCGTGCCTTCAGGAACGTGCTCCACTTATTGACCAGGCAGCAATGGCCACCGTCATCATTCTGGGGACAGACAGGGAGCAGGGTCAGATCAGCTCTCACCCCCTGCTGGAGTAGGGCTGCTGGAGCTGGCACTGGGTTGGGAGGCGGGGAGATGGGACCCTGCCAGCGCATACCAGGCAGATGCGCCCAATGCGGGCATACACGGCGGGGCTCTGCGGCGCCTCTGCCGATCGCTCGCGGAAGAAGAAGTAGAGCTTGTCGTCGTTGCGCTCGGCGCTGTCAGGGATGAGCTCAGCGTGGATGAATGAAGGGTCTGTAGGTAGGCAGTGGTCAGCTGGGCAAGTGCTCCTCCAACAAGGCCTCTTTCCCCAACAGAATCCCAGGACAAGTACAGGAACAGCCCCCGCTCTTCCCCATCCCCCGCCAGACCCCCCATGAGTGCCTCTTGAAGATCTTGCCCCATCCTAGATGTGCTGCCCACCCAGGGTCTTGTAAGCTGCCCTCACCATTCAGCCACCGAGAGTTGTACTGGTCTGTGCGCATGGCCGTCTGCTTTCCCAGCGTGCGGAAGATGGCTGCATCGGTGCCCATGAAGTCGATGTACACACCAGCATAGAGCTCCTCATCTGTGGGTGGACAGGTGGGTCAGTTAGGGGATCCCTTTGTTAGGACCAGGGTACAGCGCAAATGGCCTTCAGAGCAGGGTCCGATCTTCCCCTCAGGCTCCCCTGGGCATGACTGTCTCATCAGCGGGGTCCTGGTAAACGTTTAACAACTGGCTCTGAGGATTGCCTGGGTGGCTCAGTCAATTGAGTGGCTGAGCAATTAAGCATCCAACTTCGGCTCAGGTAATGATCTCACTGTGAATTCGAGCCCCGCTTCAGGCTCACTGCTGTCAGCGCAGAGCTGGCTTCAGGTCCACTGTCCCCCTCTCTCTCAAAAAAAAAATAAATAAATAAATAAACATACATACATTTATTTATTTATTTAAAAAATGTTTATTTATTTTTGAGAGAGAGGGAGAGAGTACGAGCTGGGAAGTGGCAGAGAAAGGGAGACAGAGGATCCAAAGCAGGTTCTGCACTGATATCAGGGAGCCCAACGTGGGTCTTGAACTCAAGAACCATGAGATCATGACTTGAGCCAAAGTTGGACGCTTAACCAGCTGAGCCACCCAAGCGCCTCCAAAATAAATAAACATTTAAAAAAAAAAAACAAAAAACCTGGCTCTGCGAGGGTTGGGATTAGCAGCAATTAGCTCTGATTAGTAGTGAGAGCCAATTTCTGTAGTGTAAATACTCCCACCATGGCTGATTTCAAGCTACTAACTTGGGGTCACTGACAGTGGAGCCGGGGAGAGCTGCCAACACTATGATATAGTATTTCTACCCCACAAATACAACAGATGCAAATAACCTCAAGAACAAAGATAATGATAAAATGTAGTAAAATAATTTGGAAGTAATGAGTTTTGAGTATTTTTACCTTTGTTTCAAGGTAATTTATTTGTAAATTATATAATTTAATTTTTAGTAATAACTGTGTTTAATAAGAGCTAGCTCACAAAATACCTGAAAATTTGCAGATTTAGTACCCATGCTGGCTCTAGACTTGCCCAGGGCAGGCCCTGCCTTCCCCCATCAGACTCCCTGGTCAGGGCTCTGCCATCAGGCTGACGTTTTCACTCACCAAGATGGGGAGGATAATGTCTCCCACCCCCACCCCAAGACCCTTCCCAAGCTTGGAGGTGGCACAGTGCTCAGCAGTTGCTCTGAGAGGCAGACTGGGTCGGGCAGCCAGAAAACAGGCAGAGTACAGGGACCAGGGGCCTGGTGGGCTCACCCAACCTGGCGGTAGGGGCAGCAGCTACTCATGAGGTCCCAGGCAGGACCCCTCCTCAGAGAACATTCTCCCAACTCTCCTGGGCCAGACCTGACACAAACCTGCCCCCCCCCCCGCTGGTCAGAGGGCCACGACTCTCCATCCGTGCTTCCTTGTGGGGCTCTCCCAGCCTCCCAGACAAACCAAGAATGTATAGGGAACCACTCCCCTCATACCTCTCCAGTACAGACCAAGCTTCTCTTCTCTCTTAGGTGGCCTGTGGCTGGGAGGGGTCTGGCCTTTGCATGGACACTATTTTAGGGTAGGATCTGGCCCCCCACTCTGGAGAGAGGCTCACACCACTAGTCTCTACCCCTCAGCTCACACTGGGATCTGGTCTATAACCCTCCCCCTGACAGGTAGGGCCCCATGGGAGGGTTCAGGGATGGCATGGTCATGGTCTCTGCCCTGAGGTAAGTGTTGGTGCCATGACCCCCATTCCAGAGGCAGAGGCCACGCACTTAGGTTGTAGAACCAGGGTGGGGTGGAGGCACTCACTGATGAGGGCTGAGGCCGTGTCCAGCTTGGGGTCGTACGGACACTTGCCCTTCCCTGACTCGAGTCTCTCGGGCTCCAGGTAGAAGATGTAATCCTGCAGGGCAGAGGGGAGCTCAGCATCGTCCAAGCTGGTCCCACAGCTGGGGAGGGCAAGGGTCATCAGGCTCCCAGGGTGAGAGCAGGCCCCGAGGGACACCCTGAAGCCACCCCTTCACTCCCCAGATATCCTTGTGTTTTAACTGTCCAGCCAGATCTCCCAGGGCAGGGCCACGCTGCATGTTCCAAGGGAGCTACTTCCTGGTCTCAGATAAGACCTGGGAATCAGGGGCTGAAGCCCCTCCATGCCAACTGGTTCAGGATGACTCTGGTCAGGGCCCCCTTGGGCTTGACCTGAGCTGTGGCTGCCTGTCCTTGGCCAAGATGAGGCTGACCGCCTGACCAGGGCAGGAGGTACTGACCAAAGGCCTTTGGTCCTGACCTTTGTTGCCAGGTCTCACCAGGCCAGAAGGCTTTGAGGGTACCGTGTCCCCAGGCTTTATGTCCTACCTGTGGTCCTCAGGACAGAATAATAGGCCATAGCCTTTCCTCTGCCCCTCAACAGAGCCCCCAGTTCCCCATGTCTCCACAGTGGGCAAGGAGTTGAGGGGTCCAGCCCAGACCACATGGGATTCAAAAAGCCCCCCATGCCTCCCAGCCCAGCCCTGAAGATGCTAGGAGAAAGGTTGTTGAAGGCACTGGGACCAGGATGAGCTCGTGGGACAAAGGGAGGGAAAAGAGAGAGGCACAGAGGCAGGAAGGAGGTGGCAGCAGGTGGCAGGGATGGTGATGGGAAGGTGTACACAGGCCCGCTTCCAGTTACACTCTGCACACATGACTTTCTGCACGCATGGGGCTGCACACACAGCTTGGCACGCATCACTGTCAGCACACGGAACCCACCGTTCACACCCTGGGCACACGTGCAGTCTGAACGGCCCCACTTTTCAGCACTCCCCATCACAGACACACCTGCTCAAGTGACCACTTGCTCTATCATTCACTGGCAGCCCCTGCCCCCCTGCCCGCCCCTGCCCAGCCCCAGGCCCCCCAGCCCAGTCCTGAGTTGTGACTAGTGGACAGACAGTTCTGTCCCTTCCACCCCAAGGGAGCAGAGTCCCAAGCATGGGAGTATGTGGGACATCTGTGTTAACCCACGACCCACGGAGGCATGGGGCATGGACACCTGAGAGTAATATGGCAGACTGCATACATGTGGCACGTTCTGACTCTGGATGCTACCTAAGGTGTGAGTTTGAGAATGCACAACACGTGCCCAAGCGTATGTTGGCAGATGCTCATGCACGTCTACACACATATGTTGAGGGCTGAGGCACTGCTGTCCTCAGGCTGTCTTCCCTACCTGGTCCTTCATGATCTCTTGCCTGTAGGGGCTCACTGAGGCTGACATGAATCCAGCTGGGAATGCCTTCAGAGCCTGGGGGCACTGCCAGGGAAGGAGTGGGATGGGGTTCCCAGAGTACAGGGAAGACCCTGGGGAGACTGGCCTGGGGTGCAGGTTCCTGGCTGGAAGGCCAGGCCCAGGGTGAGTTCAGTTCAGAGGCAGTGCTGCCCGGCAAGGGCCTGGAGGGATGAGTCCCACCTGGCGTGGGGCTGTGGGCGTCGGGCGGAGGGCACCATCCGTGGCTCTGCTGCCTCGGCCTTTGACCACCTGCATCTGGGTCCAGGGCGTGGCCTGAGAAGATGAGGAACAGGGGTTAGAGCCAGGGGTGGCAGGGGCTGGGGGAGCGGGCCCGGGCTGCCAGCCTCTCACACCACACATGCCAGGAACACACGCGAGCACCCGGACCCCCAGAGTACACATATGTGCCTGTGCGTGCACACATACACACAGCTTGTCGAGCACCTGCACACACGTGTCCCTAAGTCCAATCACTCTCACAATTGTCCTACAAGGTCACACCAGCTTACATACATGCCCACATGGAAATGGAAAAAGGCAGAAGCGGGCAGGGTGGGGCAGAGCTGGGGAAGGGGCAGCTCTCCCCCAGGCCGTGTGGCAGAAGCTGACCCAGGTGTCCAGCCTCCTGATGCCGAGGCCCTGCCAGGCCCTCTGGCTTGGCTGCAGGGGCACGGTCCACAGGCACAGCCAGGAGAACTGTTGCACGTATGGAGCGAGCGCTTACTATATGCCAGGCACAGTGCTAAGAGCCTTGGGAGCGTTAGCTCACTGCCTCCTCCTCACACCGACCTGTGAGAAAGGCAGCTATTAGCCCCATCTTCAGGTGAGGAAACCGAGGCTCTGAGAAGTGAAAGAAGTCACTCACCCAAGGTCACAGGGCTGGAAAGTAGTAGGGCTGGGGCTCAAGCTCATCCTCCCATCAGAACCCTGGCACGTGGCCACTAATGGGGCAGCACAGGGCCAGGGTGGGCACGGCTTACCTGGGCACGGCGGCCACGGTTTACATAGGTGCACATGGGGTTGTAGGCGCCGGTCCCACACACATACAGGTGTGTTCGGTTCCAGGGCTGGATGAGCCTGACGAAGTTCCCGCACTCACCCTGGGGCCAGAGGGAAAGCCAAGGAGGTGCCCAGATGCCTTACTGGCCCCACTACCTCCCTGAGGTCACCTGCCCCCACGCCCCCCCATGCCACCTGTAGACCTCTCTGCACTCACATTGCCATCCTTGCCTGAGAGCACGCACTCCTCAATGCGCTGTGGGGAAGCCGCCCAGTGGATCTGCCAGAGACAGGGATCAGAGGGTGCAGCCCTGGGGCCCCATGTTCCTCATCCCCCCAACCTGGCACCGGGGCTGGCCCTTACAATGAGGGGCTCGCGGTTGATGTCATGGAGGTCCAGGGACAGCACATAGTCTTTGCTGCCCACGTACATGCGGTCATGGTCCTCGTCTTTGAGCAGGATTCGGTAGTCGGTTGTGTTGAGCAGGAAGTTGAAGAAGTGGGCAGTGCCTGTGGCCTTAAGTTCTGTGGGTGGAGGTCAGGGCAGCAGTTAGGATCCTTGGGGACCAGCCAGACATGTCCCCTTTGATGGGGGGGGACCCCTACCACACAATCGTCTTAAACCCCTAGCTTCCCCTCTAGAGCTTATGGAGCTCCCTCTCTAGTCCCTGAGATGCTGAGAGGAGAAAGTGGGACAGGTGGGCAGGCCAGCGAAAGAGCCACACCCAGAGCTAAAGCCCTGACTCATGGGCAGCCCCAGCCAGTCTCTGGGTCCCAATGAAAGCCAGTGGGCGTGGACCAGGGCACGTGATAGCATCAAAGTCTTTGCTCAGCTGGGGGTTAATGCTCCCACACTCAGGGTGGGGCCTGCTTTCCACAGGGGCCTAAAAGGGTTAACGAGCTGGGGCATTGGGGGTGGGGGGCAGGTGCATCCAGGACAGCCTGCAGACGCTGGCACAGATTGGGATGCCCTGTCCTCACCCCAGCTGCCCACCAGACAGAAGGCCAAGCTGACACACACCATGGTCCCCACCTTGTCTGAAGCTGGTTAGCCAGGACACTGAAAAGCCCTGCTGGAGCTATACTGTCCAACAGAACTTGGGTTTCCCCCAGATCCCACTGGGCTGCTGCAGGTGGAATTTTCAGGCCACTTTGAACCAGCCAGGAATAGTCTTTCCTGGGAAAGAAGCCCTCCCCCTAGCACTAGTGTCCCAAGCCTGGGGGCAGGGTCCCGTTGAGTCCTTCATTTCTCTTCTGCATGAGTCTGGCAGCCCTGGCCCTCCCATCCCCAGACTGCTGGGGGAAAGTCCTCATTTCTAGGGATGAAGGACAGGAAGGAACTTGGCCAGTGACAGGCCAATGACAAACACAGGACTCTAGAAAACTTGGGAACCTTCCTCTGGGATGGGGACAGCCAAGGGGTCTTCTTGTCAAGCCCCTCCTCCACCCACTCCCAGCTATTTTTAGCTCAGCAGGAGAGGAAAGATTATAGTGAAGGTGACAAATATTCACCAGCACAGGAGGCTTGAGATGGTGGCACACAGAAGAGCACATGCATGTGTGCACGTGGCCCAGGCACGCACGTGTGCACACACATGTCCTGCACCAGATGAGGCACTCATGAAGGCGTTCATACATATACTATCTTCCCACATCACAGCTGGTAACCCATTTCCCAGGTGAGGCAATCAAGGGGGAGTTCTGGAAAGGGAGAACAGCTGAGATCCGAGGCCCTAGATGCCATCCGAAGATGGGACCAGCAGGTGGCCTCATCCCATCAGTCAAAGTCGACCTTGACTCAGGCAGCTGTCTCGGACTGGCCTGGCTGACCATGACCCCTGCTGTGTGCTAGGACCCTGAAGTGGAGCTGGAGGGGCTGTGCCTGAGAGCAGCTTCGGACAGGAGCTCCAGGATGTGCTGAGATGGGCGTGGGAAGTGGGCTGGGAGCCAGGGGACTCCCACAGCAGACCCAGAATTACATCTGAGGGGCTGGGGTGGGGGGGGCAAGCAAAGGCCTTGCCCTGCCCGGCCCTATGTGGCAATGAGAGAATACAGGTGATGACCTTGGCCAACCGCTGGGACGCAGGGACGCCAAGGGATCAAAGGGCCGATCCCTGCCTGGCTACGGCTTCACCCGCCTGTCCGGCGGTGCCTCTGAAGTCCTAGGCAGGGCAGCCTGGGCACCTGTCCTGCACCTGTTGTTGGGCCACTTGGAGTCCCCTGCCTGGCCACCCAGCCATAGTGACAACAGGAAAGTAAACACTCCCCCACCCCCAGGGCCAGGAAGCAGCCAGAGAGGAAGTGGGGCTGCCAGCGGAGCCCCCCCAGGCTGGGACAGCCCGCCAGGGGTTATTTATACCCTGGCTGGGGGCACGGTCTTTGTTGTACCCCTTACCCGTTCTACTGGGTTAGGGGGCATTTGGGGGGCAATGGAGGAGAGGGAGGCAGGGGTTCAAGTGTGTACCTACTTTTCCCTACCTAGGGTAAAGTAAGCTCCAAATACCTAGCCCCAGGGACATCTACCCTCCATCCCTGCCCAGTCTTGGGTCTCTGTAATTTGGAACCCCCTTCTGTGATCTAGTACCCAAGCCCCAAGTCCAAGTAACCCTCCACAACTCAGAGCCCCAGCACTCCAGGCTCCATCCCCTTCTGTGAAAAAGGCAGGGGAGAGACCATTCATTCAGCAGACCTACATGGGGAGCAGGAGACTCCCTATGATCTGACATCCTTCCTCCTAAACCTGCAGTCCCTGCTCCCTAACCCCTGGGTGGAGGTGGGGCTGGAGGGAGCCTCCCATTTACTCATCAAGCACCTATTATGTGCAAAACCCTGAGCTGACAACATCTGATTTACAGATGTGCACAGCAAGGCACAGAGAAGAGAAGTGACAGGACCAAGCACATAGGGATAGGATTCCCACCCAGGCCCATGGTCCTTGGGGCTAAAGGAGATGCAGGCCCAGGCAAAGCCAGTCCTGGTGGTGAGCACTACCCACTGGGAGGGCAAGGCCTGAAGGTAACTCTCCCTCCGTCAACAGGGCATGTGACTCAGGACCCCAGGGACCCCTCCCAGTGGCCATGGGATATGGCGTCAATGGCTCTGTTGTCACAGGACATGATGTTTTGGTCACTGTGGAAACTTTGAGGGGGAGCCCCCATGAGGCCATGTGGGGTGGGAAAGGGGTGGGACCAAAGGTCAGGAATCTTTGACTTTGGCGTGGGCTTCATGACCCCAGTCAAGGCACTCTGTCCTCATTTTCCTATCTAGACCATCTCTTGAGCCCTCCTAATACTGACACTCAAGGTGATCCCTGAAGGTGAGGGTCTTGCTTCGAACTCCGGGAAATGCTGACAGCAGAGTATTTCTTGGGACTTCCCCCCTACCATCTTTCATGGGGTGTCTCTGCCTTGGTGGGGACAGGAGAATGGGATGTGGTCCCAAGTTCTTTCCCCATGCAAGCTGGCTCCCAGATGTCACCATCTCTTGGAGGACATCCCGGCTATACCATTTCCTAGTGCTGGTTGAGGAGCAGAGAAGGCCATGGGGCAGGAAGGGGCTTCCTGTTGACTCAGCCCCAGCCTTCCCCTAACTCTAGCCTGTCTCCACCCCACCCCCAACTCAGGAGCAGAGTTAAACCCTGAATCATCCACCTAAACCCAGCTTACAGAAAGGAAAACTGAGGTGGAGAAGGATGACTTTTCCAGGTCCCTAGAGTAAACTGGGTATAGGGCTGTGGACATAGCAGTCCATGGCTGCAGTGCTCATCTCACTCATGTCAGATTGTAGGAAAGAATTAAAACAAAAGTCCCCATGACAGCCCTGTACCCCAACTCCAGACGGGAAGACTGAGGCCCAGAGGAGAGTGGTGCTCACCTCAAGACATAGGGTGAGAAGTGAAACTAGTATCCTATCCCCCTTCTCTAACCTGCCATAGGGCAAAGGAGCTGGAGGCCTTCATTCTTCCAAGAAGCCTGGGACAGAGCAGGAAGTGGGCCAGTAGTCCTGGGTTTCCTGCTCTGACACCTGTAGCATCAGCAGGGCTAGATCCTCCTGGCCCCCAGCCCCACTAAGGAGCAGAGACTTGGGCCAAGGGGAACTGGGGGTCCAAGGGGGCATCTGTTGTGGGGGTCGGTGTTGACCTGGCCTTGCCATGTCCTCAGGCCTGTCCTCTCCTCTGCTCCACTTATCCCAGGCCCAGCTCTGACAGCAGGAGTGTCACCTCTCCCCCATCTCCATGGCACTACTGAGGGAGGGCTGGGGCACAATCAAAGGTTCTGTGGATGTCAGAACTCAAGTCTGGATAAGCTTTGACCTTGGGGAGAGAGTATGGTGTGCCCAGATAATGCCTCCTGGGAAGGGCACCCCACCCCCATACCCTCACCCAGGCTGGGCACAGGTCGGGTGGGGCGACATCCGGGAAGGCTTTTCCCGTCATTGGGAAGGAAGAGCCTTTTCTGGCATCAGACACCTCATTTCCGCAGTCGTTCCCAGCCTCTAGAACTTCCCCATGGCCATTAGACACTCAAGGTCCTGGCCCAGAATGGCCTGGCAAACGTCCAGAGGCAGGAACATTCTTAGTCCATAGGGGTTTAGCCTTGGGGGTCTCTGTTTCCTCCCTGCTGGAAGCAGCCGATGCCTCACTTTAAAGGATGTGGTGGGTGTGGACAGCACTAAGGAGGTGTGTCTGCAGCCCTCACCCGAAGACCCCAAGTGGGCGGCCCTGACCCCTGCTGCCGACCCCTGCTACCCGTCTCTAGGACACGGGCTCTGTTGTCAGTGAGGCAGGGGCTGCTGTAAAAAGGGGGTCCTGGAGTGGAGGTGGTACCCCGCCCCCTTGGTTACAGCCTCACAAAGCAGCAGGTCCTGACTGACAGTGTCACCTCCCCTGGCTGTGCTTGAGTACTGGGGGTGATAGAGGGTTCCTGAAGCCCAGCCCTGACCTCTGACCTCATGTGGGCCAGAGCAGCCCTAATCCCTGAGCTAAAGAAAAATGAGGTTGGGGGTGAGAGGTGGGGGTGCTGGCCAGGGTCTCTGTCAGTGCTTTATCCTCCTGCCCTTCCAAGGAACGAAACTGAGGTGGACGAGATGTCAGCACTGGCGGCAGAAGGAGTGGCAGGGCCTAGACAGTCCGTACTGGATGCCCCAGGGGGCTCTAGGGAGGGGTGGCCCCCAGCCCCTTATGACCCCCCCAAAGCTGTGAGGGGCCCCAGAGGAAGGCCTGGGGGCTGGGCTGGCCCCCTGGCTCCCAGCCTAATCCTCTTTTAATGAGCGGCCAGCCGGAAGGCCTCAGTCCCTGGCCGCAGCCTTACAACCCTGGGAGCCCCAGCCAGACTGAGCTGGGGGCAGGGCAGCCCCTGAAGCCTTTCCATGCACCTTCCC